TCAATTTTAGAGAATATGCAAGAACCATGCAACTCATCTAACATGTCATCTAATCTAAGAATAGGGTGACGATACTTTACAGTGATTTTGTTGACCGCACGACAATCAACGCACATACGCCAAGTCCCATCCTTTTTAGGCACAAGTAGCACTAGAACTGCACATGGACTCATGCTTTCTCTCACATGTCCCTTTTTCATCTTCGACCTGCCTTTGAAGTTTTTTTGTCTCATTGGGATTGCTTTGATATGTTGGTCAGTTTGGAATTGTTGCACCAGGAATGAAGTCAATTTGATGCTCGATTCTTCTTATTGGTGGTAAACCATTAGGAACATCATCTGGAAACACATCCTTGAGGTCTTGCAAAAGAGATTTAACAACACTAGGCAAAGAATCATTAAGTTCATTAGCGTTGAAATAAGCATCTTTATACAGAAGCACAAACATAGGCTGGTTTGCAAAGAACGCAGCCTTGACATCACTTTATTTTGCATAAACACTTACTGATTTTCTCTCTTTGTTTTCAACACTCTCAATCTTTTCTCTCTTTTTGGACTCTTTTTCTGTTGTTTTCTCTTTGTTTTTCGTACCCTCAAGCTCACTCTCTTTTTTTACTCTCAGTTGATCCTCATAAACCTGCCTTGGACTCAATGGTGCAAGAGTAATTGTTTTCCCTTCCATGATATGATGAACGAATAGCGATTTTTGAAGCCATCATGTGTTACTCTCCTATCATATTGCCATGGTCTCCCCAAAAGTAAATGTCTAGCATGCATAGGAACCACATCACAAAGTACCTCATCCTTATATCGTCCAATAGAGAATGAAACCAGAACTTGCTTATTTACCTTGATTTCTCCACAATCGTTTAACCACTGCAGCTTTTATGGCGTTGGATGATTCATCATAGGTAAATTAAGCTTTTCAACTAAAACAGTGCTAGCTACATTAGTCAAACTACCACCATCAATAATCACACTACATACCTTGTTTTTGACATGGCACCTCGTGTGAAATATATTGTCATGTTGTACTTCATCATCTTCTTTGGCTTGCACATTCAAAGCTCGCCTAATGACAAGCAGTTCTCCATCAACGGCATATTCCACCTTCTTTTCCCACGCCAAATACACATCTGGATCATTTTTGCCTTGAAATGGAGGAATCTTCATCTTGATGCTGCCTAAGTCATGATCTTGCCGATCTCCCCACCTTGACAGATTTTGGTCTCCTTTGTTAAATCTATATCTTTGACCCCCTCTACCTCTCATAAATCTGTCCATGCTGAAATTTGAGTTCTGGGCATCATTGTTGAATGCATCTTCATCATTGTCATCAAGATTGTGATTATGCAAATTTGGACTTCCATTTTGTATTTGGTATAACTTGGCAATGGCTGCATCTTGCTTCTCCATTTTGTCTTTAATTTCACCAAACATGATGTCTAGCCTCTGAAATTGTTGCTGCATAGCTTTGAGCATGAAGGAATCATCCACTTGGTGTTTTTTTGTCATCACCGCTTGACGTGATTGAAACCTGCAAGGAATGTTAGAAACAGAAAATAAAAGGACCTCACAACACTCCCTTATGTGTTTCACTCCACTCTCTCACAGAATGACACTTAACACTCGTGTTTTGCACACTGTAGAACTTGGCTTTTCTCTCCAGTGTTGCTCACACCTCTTGCCTTTTCCCCTCACTCAACTTTCCTCTTTCAGTTCGTTATTGAACTAAACAAGCTCAATTCAAGTTATTTTGCAGCAATCTAACTCCAACAAATCTGCAACAAGAGTTGAAGGAAACGAAAGGACATGAAGGAACCAACAAGAAAAGCAATAAAAGAAACAAACTGAACGAATTAAAAGAAAAAAGAAAGAAAAAAATGGAAATTCGATTGAAACACAATGCAGGAAAGACAAATCAGTTCTAACACTTCCTATTGGGAATTTACTTGACTATTCCTTAATGTAGCAGGATTCCTAACGTAGGAAGGAATAAACAAAATTGCTATCTCCTTGTTTGAATAGAATTCAAAAAAAAATTTCCAACTCCTTATTGTAGTGGGATTTCTATTCCTTAATGTAGTAGGATTCCTAACTTAGGAAGGAAAAAACAAAATTGCTATTTCCTTGTTTCAACAGAATTCAAAGAAAATTTCCAACTCCTTATTGTAGTAGAATTCCTTCTTCCAACTTTTTACTGGAGTAGGATTCCATAAAATTAAATCTTAACAAGTCAATTAGTAAGAAAATTAACCTTTAATAAATATGAATAAATACTTATCATCCTTACTAATTGCTTCCACTACTTCAAGTTAATGCATACAACAATCACCTTTGTGCAGAATATTACATGCACTAATATGAAAGTAGTAACTTTATATCTTAACTTTAATAGTTCATATGTGATCTTCCCAATAGATCAACTAGTTTTAATGACATAGTAATTTAATATAACCAATTGGTATGAAACTTTATTAAACTTCAAAAATTTTATTAGAAGTGAATTAATAAGAATGGTCTCATAGAAAATAATCCCCTTTGGGTAGAAAAATCTCTATAAAACCAAAATAAAAAACCCTTACTCCACCCACAACAATTCATATACTCTCACTGGAACACTTACCTATAAATAATATAACATTCCAAACAAAGTCCTTATTGGGAACCATATGAATCTCAATAAATGGTATACTTTGATAGTACCATTCACATCAACTCACAAGTTCCCATTGGAACAATTATCCATAAATAATGTAATATTCCAAAATCCTTAATGAGAGATTAACCAATCTCCCACTGGAACAAAATTTATTAATATTCAAAAATTTTTAGAACTTTATCAAATTTCTTTTCTTTGAGATTTAAAAAATTTCATACACTACCGCAATTAGGCTGTCACTGATATGCATAATAGACATGCGTAATTACTCCTTAGAGGTAATTAATTACTAACAAAATCTTTTGTATAACCAATTATTTAATCTTAAATTACATGTCATGAGTTATACCCAAACTTTAATTCCACAAAGCCTCTTTAAAGGTTTCAAAATTGAGTAGTCAAACTATAGAATTCATATGCTAGAACCCACATTTGAAAACAAATAACTTTATCTTAAATAAAATATCAATATAAGAAAAATCATACTCAGTTACCTTATATGGTTATACCATTGTAATCTTATGGATATAACTTGACAAAATATTGAAACTGTAATTCTCAACAATCCTCAATGCACCTTTAATATATATTCTCTTGAAAATTTTCTTAATTTTCATAGAGTTAATAGAAAATAACAATTATGCTTTCTCCAAATGCATAATTAATTTGTAAAGATAGTTTATTGGCAATTGTATATATGTTTTTTACATCCAAATATTGACACTTTATTTCCTTATTAGAAAACATAGTGCTAGGAAACTCATATGCTAAACCACATATGAAAATAAGTAATTTTTCATGAAAACAAGTAATTTTTCACAAAAATTAAAGTTTCACAATTATCTACTCATTTGTTCATGACCATAAATTTTCTTATTAATAGTCAAACTTAAAACTTTGCGAATGAGTAGTACAACTAATTTCAAAAAATTTAACTCAAAGATATTATAATATATAAATAATGAGTATATATATAAAATTCACGTACCTTTAATTGTGGCTAATTACTTTAACAAAATCTTGAAATTTAATTTCCAATATGTGTTTCATAGTATATATCATGTGCATGATAGTATTCACAAAATAATTTCAAATCAAAACATGAAGAAACATGTCATATTAATGATTTATTTGTTACTAACTATATATCTTTAACCTCCAAATATTGATAGATATTTCATGTGTTGCACTTAACATGTATTTTAATCTAATGAAACAAATTAACATACATATTTATTATGTAAACAATTATTTTGATTTATAAAATCAAATCACATAATAAATATATATTTTTTATTCACATATAGTCATTAAATGAGATTATATTAACAAATATTCTTCACATAAAGTCTAATATGCATTGTGTATAAATAACAATACACAATCAACATCAAAAGGTTCAAAAACTCCCAATGCTCAATTGCTGCAAATCACCTAAATGTCGACATCCTCACATCATGTCAGACTTGCACAATAACTTAAAACTAGTTATGTGTCGACTCCTTCACCCATTGTGGTGGACCACTATGCAAATTCTTGAATGGTAAAATAATAATATTGGTCCCTCAACTTCTATTTTCGCTTTTTTTTTTAGTTAGTTGGATTCCTTGACAGATTGGGATGTCCAATCCTAATCAACTCCTTTTCTTTACTTCTTATTGGGATTCCAAATCTCGAACCAATTTTTTTCCCTTCTTTTAAAATTGGTTAATTCAAATAAGGCATTAAATAACAAAAGAATATCATAACATAAACTCATAAATTCAAAAGGATTCAAGTAAATTCACTTTCATATCACATAATTATTCATGGAGATTATTTTAAACATGAGAAAGCGAAAATGATTAAATATTAATTAATTTTAAATTTAATGTCTAAGCATTAATCTGTAACCACATTAGACCTCTAGGGACAGATTTGCACTAAATAGAATTACTAAGGGACCAAATAACAGTTTTCCCATTAATCATGATTGCCACAATAACTTTCCTTGGTTCTCACTTTTTGTGTTTAACATGTTGGACAAAACCTAAATGGGTTACATTACAGATTCACAATCTGCAAAAAAAGCCCCAAATTTCATTCTTAATTAAACATATATGTAACCTAACCAAAATTAGGTTTCTTAAGTTTTGAATTATGATTCTAATCCAATAAACTCTAATACAATCTTCAAACAATTAAAACACTCTATATGAGTAGTTAATCTCATAAACAACAATTAAGTGACCATATAAATTTTCTAGAATTTTCAACCATTCTTCAAAGATAGAAAACAAAAGAATTGATATCATGGCAGTTTTGATCAAAGGACCATGATTTCAACCTCTTATTCATAATCCACCAAATTCTAGAAAGTTTCTATCTTTATTGATCAAACACCATTAGATTATGAAATCAAAGGTCATGCCTTTTAATTTGCTAAATACCTAATTAAATATTATACAACAACAATTTAGATCCTAAATCCACATATAACCTGTTCTGAGACCACATGTTAGAATTTTTAAGGATTGACATATGTAAGATTTAGGATACCAAAATCTAATAAAATAAATAAATTACGTATCTAAATCTCCATAACCAATATATTACCTAAGAATCTTCAAGGATCTTCAAGAATCATCATAATTAGGGATCTTATGATAAAACCTACAAAACAAATATAGTTAAGATTGGGATTTAGGTCTTCCTCTCCTTATTCAACTTTTGTATAATGACAATCAATGGGTCATGCCACTCCTTAACCCTCTTATTTATAAAGGTAGGGTTTTCTGAATGGGAGAAGAAACCTAGTCCATTATAATAATTTTTTGGAGAGAAAATCCTGTGGGAATAGGCTATGGTTTGCCAATTTTTGGAAGTGTAATGACTGTTCACTGGGTACTGCTCACACACACCGAGGGTCAACAATTAACGGGGATTTAAATGATTAGTTTGTAATATAAGAACGAATTTGGAGATATCTGATAATGTGGAGATTTATAGAAATAACATCGTGATTAAGGGTAGTTTTAATGATGATTTCAGTGTGAATTTGTGATAGTACGATATTATTTCTCGGATATTTTGATTAGGTTCTTGATTCTTGGGGTACTTTAGTACGTGAATTGAGTGCTCGGCTTTATGCGAGTGAGGTAAGTAAATTTATGGTAATGCCCGTACTGTTTTTAAAAGCATGTTTTGATTTGTTTTTTAAGTGGTGGCGGGACTAAACCCGTTTTACACGAGCATGATTGATTTGAAGTGAAATTTTTCTGCTTTTTCATTAAATTGAGCATGCCTACTTGAAACTTAATTGATTGTCCTGATGATTTGAAAGTGATTAGTGAATTATGAATTTTCTGTTAACTTCTGCCTGTTTCTCCGATGTGGTTATGTCATTGATAACCCTGCTAGTGGGGGTTAAACGCTAGCACATGTCGACATGTATTTCTGTAGAGCCGGTTCCTCCTACCAATGGGAGTTGTTACACACTGGTATTTCTGTAATCCTGCTAGTGGGATTTTACACTAGTAATTTCTGTAGCCTGCCAGTGGGAGGTTTATAATACTGGCCGTGACCTATGGAGGAGACATCTATTTCGTTCCCGTACTTGTATCCGTTTTTTTTATTACACTTGTTGGCATGCTATACGTTTAATAAGGGGCACTCCATATTTTACTTACTGAGTTTATCTCATAGTTTTCCTTGTTCACCATTTCAGGAAGCAAAACCGAGGACGAGGAAACCATGGGAAGTGACGAGTTAGAAGGCTAGCCATTTCGAGATTGATATGAAATTTTAGAAATAAATCATGATCTTGTATTTGGAGATTTTAATTGGAGATTTATGATATTAGAGCTTTTCATAAAATTTGATCATCATATTTTGTGGATTGTTAGATGTGAATTGGATAAGTTTCGAGCCTTGTGCATTTGTGGGATCCTCTCACGAGTGCACGGCGTCTGCCACGTCCTCGGATTTGGGTTTTGGGGCGCGACACAGTTATACATACTCCCTTTGTTGCTGAATATTTGATGTTCTAAGCAAATTCACCAAGATTAAGAAAAGTTATTAATCAATCTTAATTTCAAGGAGAGATATATATACTTAAAGTACAATTTTACCTTGCTTCCTCGCTTAAATTTCTAAACCTTTATCGATTCATCTCCTCATCTCCATAATCTATTGTTGGGCTTGGAATATTTTTTTTTTTTACCACTTCATTCTTTAATCCCATTCAAAAAACTTTTCATTTTATAGTTTTGTTTCCTCGTAAAATAATTCAAAGTATTGAATACAACAACAATAAGTAGAAAACAGACAAAAAAAAAAAAAAAAGGGTAGAAAACACAACCTACCATGTATAGGGACTTTTGTTCTTGGATCAAGTTAAGTTTCAAAGTAATAAACCACCAGATGCTAGAAAATAGATTGCTAGTATCCAATCGTTGAAAAGACATTCAAAGATGTTTGGATCTAAAAATGATAGTGCCAAAAAAGAAAAGTTTTTGTTGTTAGAAAAATCTTAGGGGAACACACCTTATGCTTGAAATTGTTGAATAGTACTATTTAAGAGAAAGAATCGAATTTCATATTTAAAGTGTACCTAATGTAGAATTAAAAAGATTGTAAGAAAATCAAAAAATAAAAAGCAAACAGAAGATGAACATTTGGCTTCAACTTGAATTGTAGGAACCAAAAGTTTATATTTGTTGAACAATGCTTCAATTTTAGAAAAGAGACATTTAAAGGGAATATAGTTTATTCTTGGCAAGGAGGAAGATTCAACAAAAAAAAAAAAGAAAAAAAAGAAAAAAAAGAAAAGTGATAAAGAAAAATTGATGGAAGGTAGTTTAGCTTGCTTTGGCTTTTGAGTTTCTTTACTTTAGGTAGGCAAGGGGTAAAATTGAGATAAAATAATTATGCCACTTAGAATTCTTAAAACATAAAATAAATGGGATTAGATTTTCACTCCTAAAATGTCAAATATTTAAGAACGAAGGGAGTACTTTAGACACAAGTCTTTGTTATTTTCCATGTCCACCTTTTTATATTTTATATTTACTAACCTGGTCATTATGAGCAATTGTTTAGCATGGGAAATTTAAAACCTATATCCCACACTTGGTTGCTGCATTAGTAAATCGTTGCAAAAAAAATGCACGTCCAATATCACTACATTTCACAATATAATTAATACGAAAAATCTTCTTTGTCTCTTTAAATGTCCTCTCAAAAGTTCTAAAGTTGCATCCATGCCAACATCTACAAATACTTCCTCTGCTTCCTTCCTATGATCCTACTTTCTCAAGAATGCTTATTGTTGAGTAGGGTCTTGAGCTCACCTTCTATTCTACGCATAGTTTAATATCATGACTGTATGAAGTGGACATTTGTTTGCAATACTTGTAGTTCCAACATTAATGTACAAAGAGAATAATCGCAATTATTATTGTCATCTTAAAAAAAAAAAAGAAGATTATTAGTGTTGAGCAAACTTACCTTGGATGCATTGTATTACTCTTAAATATATATGTATAAAAACTTAACATGATTTCTACACTAACATGTCCATTAGATTTTATAATATATGCCAGTGACATCACACGATCACATAAAAGTTGACATCAACTAAATTCTTTAGTTCAAGATACTTATTGTACAACCATCATTTAACTGGTGTATTGCAAATATCAACAACGGTCTTTGTTTGAATTTCCTCATAGCTTACTATTCCTATAATCATATTGTAGTCTTGGTCTTTTGTGGGACCATAATAGTGATTCTTAAAATTTCCCAATGTCATCATTCCCCACTTTATGTCAATGCAACACCATTATAATATAGTTAAACTATTTGTTGCTTGAATTTGATACAACAAAAAATGAATGGCAATCCCTCTATTCTTAAATAATATGCAAAGACCTCCCCCATGAAATTCCTCCCAATAATCATAAAATTAAAGAACTCGTATGTTGTGTGCAACATATACGAATTTTAGTTACACGAATCTATTCCACGTATAATATCAAAACTAGATGTGTAAGGAAACATGTAACATTTAACTTTATAATAAGTACATGGAGACTACAAATAGTTACATTACATAATTTGCCTAGTACAATTGGAAAAGAAAAATAACTTAGTAAAAAGCATAGGTAGCCATCATGCCATCTAAGCAAATCACCATGCCATCTAAGCAAAGCACCATGGATGTCTTCCACCAAAAAACCTACATAATAAGGCATAATTAAAAAAAATATTGTATAACACTCATTTTTTGCATTGTTGTCAGAAGCCTCCATCTTTCCATTAACCCTTCTCCATTACACTAATAGATTCAACATTAAATCTTTCTAGCCCCTACTTTTATAATAAACCAAGAGAGTCAATCATAACATAATTGGGCAGCAATAGTAATCTTAATGAAGTTAAGAAACTTACCTATAACCCTTATTGCTATAGGGGATCTGTCTATATAGATATCAATCAGTAATCATTCACATAAGTACTGGTAAGTAAGCATGTCTCCAAGTAAGGTTTAATGTCCAGGAACAACTTAACAATGGATGAATAATCACATAAGTGGTGGAAGGTTCTCTTGAACTCTTTCACCATATGTGATGTTCACCACTTCAACATGATATCAAATACATCCAATGACAAGTACCACATCTACATTGCAACCTTAATGCCGACGGTGCACTAGAGAGGATACTTATCCTAAGGCTACCTTACCATTCCACCATCCCATTTAAAATCTACAGGCTCTTTGAATTGTTATACTACCTTATTTCTTCTACATCCCTTGATGCCACCTGTCTATTACTGGTCTACTATTATAGAGAGAGTTTGAGAGCTGAATCTGCTCAATCTTAAAAAGATATTCCATGACTCCATTGATAGTTAGCACTTGTTTTCTACTCCATATTAGAACAATGCATCCTATCTTATCTTTTGCCTTCTCCTTCCATTAAGAAATTTTGGCAAAACCAATGTAGGAATATCATCAAGTTCCCCTAAGCATGTTGTTGTGAAGCATTGATAACACTGTTCAACCATATAAGCTGATTCAAAAAATTAGCTTCCAGTTTTATGGCAATGATGTGCATGTGGTGGGGCACATTGGCAACAACCGCCAAAGGTTTACAAAAGGCAAGCCAAAGTTGGTTCTAAAGGCCATGCTTTAGTTTCGCACATGGCAAATGATGAAAAGCTTAGTTGGGAGCTTAATTAAGTCTTTTATTAATAGTTTATTATTATTATTATTATTATTCTTAAAACTATTTAATTTTTGTCGAGTCCTAGTTGGATTAGAACTTCTAATTAAGAGTTCTATTAGAAGTTTTAATAGTTCTTATATATATAAATGTTTGTAAGTTTTGTTATTCATTCAGTTAATAATATTCAAATTTTTCCAGCAAGTTTGCTCTTGATTGTGTGAAGCAATCTACCTTAGGAGTGATTCCTAAGGTTGCCTAGGTGTGATTCCTAGGGTTCTTTATTCTTCCTTGTCTTCTAAACTAAACTCCTAACCTTCTTCTTACTATTCATGCACCCTATTCATAGCCAAAACTATCTTCGAAGAAGCCCCCAAGTCCTTAAGCCTACCTTAGCCCTAACCTGTTCCGCATCAGTTGGTATCTAAGCAAAGGATTCTAGAACTTTATTGTTGAGTTTTTTCCTCAATCATGGTGTCAAACGCTAAACTAAATTCACAAGTTACAAGGCTGAATTTTG